TCACCAAACAGCGGAGGCTGCGTGTTTACCCGTGAAATGTAGAAATACAATTATACGTACTACCTGTTGGAGGAGAAGAAAGGGCTGTTTCATGTTAACTAAAAGGTCTGGGGTCTTCCAAGTTGTTTTTGACCAGGTAGAAACTACCATTATAATTTTTTAAATCACTAACAGCTGGACAGAGCCAGACCCAGCCCATCTACGCTCCTCTAAGATGCGGCTGGCAGATAATGATTGATTGATCACTAACGCTGGCCACGCATTCTGCAAATGAAAGTCCCAGGCGCTACACACCACAGCTGTGTACACCCAGCCGACCTCTCCCAGCGCTGGGCAGAAACGTCTCCTCCCAGGAGCGGTTCATTGTGCCTTTTTGCAACAGGGATTTCTGGGCAACTGGAATTCTTTCTCTGTCTAAATTACATTCTCTCAGCAAAACTGACTTTTCCCCTCACAGAGGAATTGTTTTTAATTTGGGCCTTGACTGGTGCACAGCAAGTTCTCACATTTTATTTCAAGAGCATTGCACTTCCTGCGTTTATCTACCGGCAAGCTTCGCGTGAGGTTTACGAACACTAGACATGCAATATGCAAAAACTGCCCTGAGTGGAGATGTCTCAGCAACTTCAAAATGCTAGGGCTGGGGCAAGACCTGACTTTCCTTCTGCAGAACGGGCAGGGGGCGGGCGGGTGTGGAGACCACCGGGACAGCCGGCCGTGCAAGGTCTGATCGCCACTGCCTGGGTTTCAAATCTCAGGACAGCACAGAAGTCTCTGGAACAGGATCAGGAACACCAGTGTCCAGTGTGCCCTGGGCTGAGAGCGGGTCCTTACCAAGGTCCAGTCCAGGAGGCACGTCCAGGAGTTGCTGCAGCAAGACCCGTGGGGCGGGGCAGCTCCTCCTGGCCCAGACCCTCCGCCTGGCTCCCACAGGCGGCTCTGTGAGAACCCGGGACATGGGAGGGAGGCACGTGAGGTGAAGGCTGAAGACCACACCTCGCCAGACGTCCAGAGGCGGCCACCACGTCTGGATCACTGCTTTGTGTCGGCTTGACTACGAGGCCTGCCGGGGCCCCCGAACAGACCAGGGCAGGAGGGGAAGTCGGGGCAGGTGAGGGACTGATTCATCATAACTGCGGTCTTGGGGCGGGCGGGTGGCCAACAGCTCCAAACCAAGGGCCAACGGACGGTGGACTGTGGTTTGGGATCTCCATGCTGCCCTCCCCGTGGACACGGCTCTGGTCAGGTGCGACCAGGACTCCAACCTACGTGACCAGAGGAGGGGAGGGCGGCGGACCCCTAAACCGGGAGGCTGCACGGGCTGCGCGTGTCGAGTCCTTTACTGTCAGGGTGGAAGCCTGCGAGTGCTCACGGCAGGTTGGAGACAGAATTTCACAAGGAGCAGGGAAGGAAAGTGCTTAAACTCATGTGCTCGTTTTCTTGGTGGGAAGAGTGATGTCATGGCGACGCTCTGCACTAGAAAACCCACGGTGACGGGATTCACTCTCTCCAGTCGTCTCCTCCTTTGCGCCTTAGCCCCCACGCCCCAGAGTCCAGCCCACCAGGCCTCAGCGCACAGGTCGGCAGGGGTCTTGCCAAGGCCACATCAACCGTAATGCTGGGCCCTCCTCTCCCAGCGCACGCGGCGCAGCCTCCTTGCCCCTCCCCTCACTCCCACGTCCAGCTTCCGCCCGCCTCAGACCCGACGTCTCCAGGGGGGCTACGTGGGGTGCCCTGGCGTTCAGGCCAGGCCCTCCTCAGACCCCGACACGCTCGCCCCCCTGCTGGGCTCGAGTCCCGCAGCTTTTCAGGTTTCTACGCAAACGACCCACAGCGGGAGCCTGTGCCTGAGCCTGTCCCTGCGCGGCAGCCCCGGGCCCTGCGTTCCGTGCTGCGTCCGTCCACGGCTGAGAGCGGTGCCTGGCACACGAGGCCCACGACGCTCGCCATGTGGCAGAACATGCATTACCACGTGCAACGTGCCAGAGGAAATGCCCTTTTGAAAATTAAAAGCCGGGGTTTTTAATATAATCACTAGGCACAGCCTCATTATAAAAATGCTTATTCTATGAAACTACAGGGCCCAAAACGACTGCTTCCCAAACGTGAGCAACTATGGGGTCTAACCGGGAAGCTTCAGAATTTCAAAGTGTTCACTTATGAAAAATGTATTCTTAGTAAAACAATTTAGGAATTTCATAACTGTTAAGTCAATAGTACATACAAATGAGCAAACTTATTCACGGTTGAAGGTTAAATCTGACTGCATCAGGCTTCCTGTTAGAAGAATCCTTACATCAGCCTCTTTCGGCGACCACAGCCACGCTGCGCCAGGTGGGCACGTCTGCCTCAGTCCACCACGCGGAGAACACCAGCGGGACCCGTCTGCAACTGCAGCTCTGGCCTGTGCAATGCAAGGGGGTCCCACACCCGGACTAGCAGAGTCCAGCCTCCCGGGGGGGCCAGAGGCCGAGACCGCTCTACTGAGAAGGGCTCCTGCCATTCAACTCACGGATGCGTCCCTTCTAAAACGCACTTGCCTTTGTGCAAGTCGAGGAAGCATTAAGTGATCCTGGGGGGAGGGAGGGTTGACTGCTGAGATGCCGCCTGGTTTCCGCCTCGTGATTTTCCTAAAGCAGAGGCTTGGGTTCCCAGCTTTTATTGACACGCAGGTGTACAGCCCCAAGTCACCTGGGCACGTGCTTCCGTGCACCGCACCCCGACCTGCGGTGGCTGCTGCTACACACGCTCTTCTTCTCCAAGCCCCAAATGCTCCCTCCGCCAAAAGCGGAGCTCCACTCTGCCAAAGCCCCGCTCCTGCAGACCCGCGCCCGGGGTGAGCGTGGACTGTGCTTTCTCACCAGCAAGCAGCCGCCCGCTTGCCTCTTTGCTCTGACACATAAAAGCCAGAAAATCCCACCTGGTAACAAGACAGAACCATTCCAAGCCAAGCAGTGGCCAAAACACGGGACAAATGTCAAGCCGGACAAGAGCGTCTTCCACTTCTGCCGTCTTACAGAACCTGGCACTGGAATTACGCCGAGCACAGTGGCCTCAGGGTGGATGGTCAGACCCCGGGCTCCTGCCACACCTCGGCAGGGGGAGGGGCTATTCACGGCCGCTCCATCCCACCCGCTGGTCAGTGGTCAGTGCGGCCGGACACGGCCGCCGGGCACCCCAGCGCTGCCCACCACGCCCTGCTTCGCTGAGGTGGACGCAAGTCACTGCATGTAACTTCCTCTGAGAAGCTCGATGTTCTTAACTATTGCCTTATAAAATCTGATAGTAGACCAGAGAGATACTTTAGGGAAAAACAAGGACTTTCTCTTCGATACAAAATTCTCACGCCTGTAAACACATGACTATTAAGGATAAAATGCAGATGCGAACCCTATTGTTGCAACGACATGCTTATTTCCTGATCGTCAAAGCACTGAGAATTCCAGCGCAGTGTCAAAAATCCAGGGTTTTATTTCGACCCTGTGTTATTTGTGAAGGGCTGTAAGCACGTTTGTGAAGCTAAACCACACACTGCTCTGACGTAAGATTAGGGGCGTTTACTAACATCTTCGAGGTTCGGAGAGAAGACTTGGATGATGTTTCCTCACCTTCCTCTGTCCAGCAAACACGGGAAACACCAGAAAAGGAAAGAGATGAACTTCCCCAGCACCACCAATCACAGCCTTCGCATTCCACCCGGGGGCTGAAACCACACAGGGCCAGACACACACCTGGGCAGGTGGGCGGTCAGCGTCCCCGCGCCCACACGGTGCTGGCAGGGACGGGGCCCGGCTGGGCAGCCTGGTCCCTCCGACCGTCCTGACCACGCTGAGGACACACCGGCGCTGCCCTCAAGGCCTCAGTAAACAGCTAGCTCGTTACGGCCAAAGGCACTAGGAACATCCAAAGTAATTAAAGATGTTTTCCTTTCTCCTTCCTCCTCGCCTTAATGGGTTTGTGAGGTGCTCAGCCCAAAAGACACTTTGGGACTGGCCCAGTGCCCAGCTGTGCTTTCATTTAATGATTAAAGCCACTGGCTTCTTAGTGAAATGCAAACCTCAGCCATTAAATCTGGACTCCAACTCAAAACTGCTGGGAAACTCTAATTTCAATTCTTAGAGTAAGGAAAGAAGGAAGGAAGGAAGCAGGGAGGGAAGGAACAAAGGATGGAAGGAAGGAAGGAAGGAAGACGGAGAGAGGGCAGACACAGGGAGGGAGGGAGGTGGAGGGAAGGAGGGAAGGAGAGGGGAGGGGGAGCAGCGTGCATCTTTCCTGAGTGAGCTCCGCAGCCGCGAGGCCCAGCAGAACCCCCTGTGACGGTGAAACGGTCTCTTCCGCGCTGCCCAAACTGAAACCACTGCCCACACAGCTGCTGAGAACTTGAACCATGGCCAGTGCAACTAAGGAACTGAATTTTAAAGTGTATTAAATTTTAATTAATTTAAATTTAAACAGCCACACGTGGCCAGGAACCACCTCACTGGAAAGAGCGCAGCTCTACAGCAGAAAACGCAGTTCACGGGACGCACGGCTGACAGCCCCGGCGGGTGAAACGCGGAGCCGCGGCCGGCTTGCTCTGGCCTTCTAAGTCCCCATGGAGGTGAGTAAAGAAACGTGCTTTTCTTTCCTGTTTCTCATTCTTGACTGACAGCCTGACTTTGGGAGGTAAAAAAAGAACATATTGTTTTGCTTTTGCATTTTATCCCACCAACACTCTAAGCCCCAGTCTCCCTTCAGAGAAAGGAGTTCTGAAAGCAGCTGAGGCTGGTCATCACATGAATCTTTTCTAAAATGTCTTTTAAATCACAGACATTATTCTGTGAATCTGTGATAATTTTCTTTCTCTTTCTGGTACTTCTTCACTTCTTTCCTTTTTGCTCTAATGTAGCGGTCAGATTACTAAAGCAAAGAGTACTGCAAGTCCGAACTACGCCAAACCACGTCAAATCAAATGGCGGGAGCGGTGTGTAAACGTGTGCGTGCTCATGTATGTCCGTGTGCACGTGTGCATCTGGGACATGCCCGTGTGCAGAGGTATACTGAGGAGAAGTCCCATAGAAATCGTTTTATTTCTCAAAGTGTGGAGAAATAACATACACACAGCGCGCCGTGTTGGAATGACAGCTTCCATTTTTTCTCCAGTGATAATTATGGGTCATTCCAAAATAAACCTAGAAGGTTCCAAAACCTTTTAATGGAAGCTGTTTCTTCCGACTGCATTAACTATACCACAGGGCAGACTGCGCTTTGCTAGGCCATTTCTTCTACTGTGCGATTTTCGGATCATTTACTTCCCCGCACCCCCCACCCCCCAATTTTAAAGCTACGTGGAGTCCACGCGAGTCCGGCGGACCAGAGCTGCTTCGTCGCCGTGCTGCAGCGGAGCGGAGGGCGGCCCGTTCACTTCAGCCAGATCCACTTGTCGCCGACGTCGGCATTGTACCCAGGTTGGTACTTGCGGCCTGGCAGCTGTGGGAAGGAAAAGCCATTGGCACAGTGTTGAAAACGAGCGAATGTTCTCCTAGCTCACCCAACAGGTACCTTCCGTTCATTCGTTCACTCAGCGCTGTCAGTGAGTGCCTGCTCCATAGCAGGGCTGTTGTGAGTGCAAGGACACCACCGGAGTTAAACCGTAACACAACCCTGACTTCCAGAAGCTTCCATCCTAGGGTTGGGAGTTGCCAATGAAACCAAACCACCTAAGTGTTCTCATTAATGTGAGGAGGGTGACAGGTGCCACTGGAAGGAGGACAGAGGATGGTGCGGTGGCACTTGGGTAAGAGCTGGGGGTGGGAGCACCGTGATACCAGGGGGCTCAGGCCGAGGAAACTGCAGTCCATCCTCACGCTTTGGCCACCCCGATCTGGAACAGCAGGTGACTCTGAAAAACCCACTGGTGAAATCGCCCATGGAGAAGCCCCTGTAGTGGCCAGGGGCCTGGCTGCAAACAGCACTCGCGCGAGGATCAAGGTGAGTTTAGTTCAGGCCTTTGGAGCAGGTGTGGGCCGGGCTGAGGAAAACCAACAAAGGAAGGGAAGCCCGCCAGGCCCGGCCACGGCGGGAGCTGCAGGAGCCAGGGGAGGAAACAGCCCTCAGAACACAGACAGCGGCGGTGGCAGGAGAGGGGCCGGCCCAGAGCAGGGTTCCTGTCAGGGAGCCCCAACCCTCCCGCCCTCTGATCTGCCGGGGCCTCCCGCTGCCTCCACCCCGCCGGAACTCACGGTGGGAGCCCCGGCGACACAGTCCACAGGGGCCAGCCTCTCAGGGCACAGGGCAGGAGAGGACCTGGGTGGCAACACGAGGACGGTGCACAGGAGCGTCCCCAACTGCGAGAGACGACTGCAGGAGAGAAGGTGGCGGCCTGGAGCTGGCTGGGAAGGTCACAGGAAGAAGCACCTGCTCCCAGCGTGGCGGCCTCACCTCGGTGCTGGAAGCATAAGCCTAAACCCGACAGGAGTTTTGCTGTGACCAGGGACACGGTCTGGCACGATGTTTCGCCAAGTTATAGTAAGTGGGAAAAAATATAGAGTTTTTTCATGTTTTCAAATCAATATGGACAAACAGCAGATTTTATAGACTACACTCACAAGAATCTTCCAAATTCTGCCCTCACGAACAGGTGCTAAAACTATTTTTTTAAAAAGTCAAACTTTTCCTTTATTCTAATCAACAAAAGGCATTCACAGCCAGCCACACCAGCCACGCCAGCCACGACTGCCTGGACCACACGCCACTGGCACGTGCCCCTGCCCAGCCTCGCCAGCCGAGACGGACGCACGAAGGACGAGTTGCCTGAGTGAGCAGCAGAGCCGTCGCAAGACCAGCTGTCTCAGAAACGAGGGCCGGCAGCGCTGACGATCTTCTTCGGGGCGCTGGGTCCCCCCTCTACCTTTCCCAGACAGCGCCTGCCTTCCTAGGAGCACGGTCGGAAGCGGGAGCCGGGCCGTGGAAGCGGGAGCCGGGCTGTGGCGCTATCGGCACTCGCCTGGAGCGGGGAGGGGCTGCGGTGCGGGCCGACGCGGATATGTGGCCCAGGGAAGGCGAGCGCCGGTCCCGTCGTGGCAACGCCGAGGGGGAGTGGCCTGTGGGTGCCACACGGCGGCCGCTGTGCAGAGATGACCAGAGCAGCTGGAAAACTGGGTCTGTGGCTCAAAGTCACGGCTGTGCAGCCACCACCCAGCAGCTGAGGGAGGGCTGCCACTGGACAGTGTCCAGAGTGACAAGAGAGGATAGAGTGGGTCGCACCAGGGCATGGCCGAGCCGGGCCCGCAGAGAAGCTGAGCAGAAGGGAGGCGAGCGGTCAGGAGAGCAGACGGGCGACAGCACAGGACACACCAGGCCTCAAGCCCAACGGCAACCACGTGGCCACCGGCTCTGCATGGGGACAAGGGCGGGAGAAGAGACCACACTGGGTGAGACACCACCAGCACCTGAGAGAGGGAGACAGGATGGGGCTGCCCTTACGTCGGGGCCCGGCGTGCGTGTGCGTGTGCGTGTGCGTGTGCGTGTGCTGAGGGGATGCTGGGCAGTCTCTGGATCGAGAGAGGGCGGGGACCGTGCCAGGCACGATGATGATACCCCTAGACCTGCGATGCGCGACCTCACGTGGCCAGGGCACTCTGCAGGTGGGTCGAGGATCCCGAGACGGGGTCATCTGTGTCACTGAGTGGACCCAGCGCCATCACCGGGGTCCCACAGATCAGGGAGATGTGACGCTACCGTGGGCTGCACCACGGAACGCAGGCAACTCTGGAAGCCAGAACAGGAAAGGAAACGGGTTCTCCCTCCAGCCTCCAGAAGGACCCAGTCCTGCCAGCCTTGACTTTAGGATTCTGATGCCCTAGAACTGCAGGAGAAAACAACTGTGTTGCTCTGAGCCACTCGGTCTGTGGCAGTCTGTCACAGCAACGACAGGACACTCGTACAGGCTGTTCTGCTTCTTGTCACGGGAACGCTCGGGCAGGTCTGCACGGCAGAAGGGAACGGTGCAGAGGGATAGGCTGGAGCCGCAGGAGAGGGCAGGTGGCCCACTGAGAGCAAGCGCAGAGGGAGGGCAGGCCGGAGAGCGCCGACCAAGCCGCATGCTTGCAGCGCACTCCGCCGCGAGAAATCCGGCAGAGCGGCTGCTGACACGACTGCTGCGGCAAGAAAGCCACGCTTTAGTTGTGACCACGTGTGCAAGGTGGCCCCGCCAAAAAACAGCTCCTCTTTACCTGAAGGGCCGACCGCCGAGTTATGTCCACAGAACAGAAAGCTGAGGCCTCGCAGGAGAACTGAAAGGCTGCCCATCTCACGAGCCCGCACGGTGGCCAGCGGGCACCCTCCTGGCACCCTGGACCAGCCCTCCCGGGTTTACGACGTCTGACCCCAACAGAGGAGCCACGCGGGTCTGCTCAGAGCAGCACCCACAGAGGGAGGCCCAGGCTGGGCACCGTCTGGCTGTTTTCACCTTTGCAATCGAGTTTTAAACCTGAGCAGAGAACATAAACTAGCAAAACATCGAGCTGGCTGAGTCTGGGCAGCGTCCACTAATTGCCTCACAGACTTTGCTGTCCAGACGTCTTGGGCAGCGTTTTATTGGCCTTTAATATCCAGGAGGGTTTTCAGACCATTGGGGTCTCTTTCCAGTGCTTTTAAGCCCACGGAGACCCACGGGGAGGGTTTTCATTTGGAGCAACTCGCACCAAGAGAACATGAAATCTGCGCATTTAACTTCATCAATTCCATGTCTGTACCTAATTTAAAAGAAACCTCCTGCCACCAAAACCCAGACCTCACTCATCGCCCTTTCCCTCGTGGGGCAGCCTTGCTCCAGAAGCGACGCCGGCCTCAGACTCAGCCCCAAGAGCCACGCTGCCCTGATCTGCCCGCTCGGGACCGCCTGGTGCCCCGCAGCGCACGTGGATGGTCAGGTAGAGAAGGTGTGCGGTTAGCTGTGCCAGGAGCGGCTTTAAAAATCAGAAAGACATTCATTCTAACCTCGTCAGAAGTCTGAGCCTCCGCTGCGTGCACACCGGTGAGCAAACCACAAACCCGCAAGGAACAAAACCAAGAGCAACTAACAGAAGGAATGAAAACCCTTCGATGCTCGTTCTTTGAAATTCCCCTCTGAACACACAACGCAAGGATGACTTCACAGACTGGACCTCCGAATTCTCAGCGTTTTGGACTCATTCAATTCATGGTACTTTGGTAAGTTTAATCCTTCCAGGAGGCTGTTTACCCACATTTTGCATTAAAAAAAAAAATCAAACACCAAGTTTACTAAAGGGGAAAAAAACAGTAAATTATAAAGCCAAACATTCAAAGTCCTCTTCCAGAGCCCAGTGGCTGAGCTGCCTCTACCCGAGGTCATGCACACACTCGTCCACCAGCAGCCATCCGGGGCCTTCGGCAGCAAGGCTCGGAGCCAGGAAGGAACTCCAGACAATGCGCCGAGGTGGCCACTGCCAGCAGCCTGGCAACGTGGCCCGACCCGGCCGAGGCACTGACTCCCCAGCCCTCAGCCTGCCGGTCACGAGGGCCCCGGCTGGAAACAAGCCCACCCCCTGGGCTGCACAGAGAGGGAGGCACCGCCCTCCTGAAGGAGGTGCGAGGGCGCGTGCGTGCATGCGTGTGCGTGCATGCGTGTGCACACGCTGCGGCCCAGGCTGCCTGGGGGTCTGGATCTGCATGTTCTTCTCCAGAAAAAGCACCTGAGCTGTACCCTGCTCGCACTGGCGTATCTCGATTCACACATGAGATCTGAAAGACACGGGGTCTGAATGCGACGCTCTGGTCAAAATCGTTCCCAATTTCCCTCAAATAGTTAAGTGTGTGCAGATCTGTGTGTCAGAAGGCCATGCTTAATTTACACTCACATTTTAAACACGATGACCTTCCTGACCTTCACGGGTGACGAACATTCACACACAGCCTGGCTGGGACCTCTCCCTGCCCCTGCTGATACGCACCCCTGCAAGGACAGACACGGAAGGAACCTGCGCCAGGGCCACCTCCCTGCGGGGGCGCTGGGGACACAGGATGACCGTGGAGCTGAGTCTGAGCCCGTGTCCTCCGGCCGCCCAGCCCGCCCGAGCGCTCGGCCACGCGCACGCCAGCCCCGCCTACTCCACCTGTAGCACATCGCGACCCGCAGCTGCGCTGCCTCTGCTTGCGGTTTCCCTCTTGTCAGTAACACTTCGAGCTGTCCCTCCAGATCTATGTGCTTAAGGTAAGTTTCTAGAAAGGGAACTGCTTGCTTAGGGAACAGCAATAAAGACCAGAGGGACAGATGCTGAGGCAGCCGTCAGAACGAGTTAGTCCAACAACGCAGGAGACGCTGGTCCAGGTTACTGCGCCACTGTTGAGACCCGCGGGGCTGACTTGGGGCTCCCGCTTCTCTTCATGAATTTCTGCCGGGCTCTTGGCCTTTCACCGCCTCGTGCTGCAGTCAGCAGACCACGGCCGCGGATCAGACCTGGCCCGTT